GGAGCTCCTCGGGGTAGTGTCCTCAGCACAACCCTCTTAGCTACTTCATCAGTGATCTTCCCTCCAATGTATGGTCATATGTAGGGATATTCACAGATGATTGCACAGTTTTGAAGTGCCAATGAATTGTTACCTCTAAGAAGAGAGAGTTTAACATTCAATGTGGCATCACTATCACTGAATCCCCCACTGTCATAGTTGTGGGGGGGTCACCATTGTCCTGAAGCTGGATTGGATCCACCAAACAAATACAGCGACTACAAGAGCAGGTCAGAGGCTGGGAATCCTGCAGTGAGTCACTCACCTCCTGACTCCCTGCAAAGCCCTGTCCTACCATCAACAAGGCATAAGTCAGGAGTGTGATGGGATACTCCCCAGTTGCCCTGGATGGGGGCAGCTCCGACAGCGTTTGAGAAGCTCGACACCGCTGTCCAGGGACAAAGCAGCCGCCCACTCGATTGGCACCACATCCACAAACATTCACTCCCTCCACCACCAATGCTGGGTTGCAACAGTGTGTACCATCTACCAGGATGCACTGCAGAAACTCACCGAGGCTGCTAAGGCAGCATCTTCCAAACCCATGCCCCTCTACCATCTAAAAGGACAAGGGGCAGTAGGTACATGAGGACATCATCACCTTTCAATTTCACCTCCGAGCCACTCCCCATCCTGACTTGGAACTATACCGTTGTTGCTTCAGTATCGCTAGGTCAAAATCCTGGAATTCCTTCCCTAAGAGCATTGTGGGTCTGCCTACAGCACATGGACTGCAGCGGTTCAAGAATGCAGCTCACCACCAACTTTTTATGAGCTACAAATGCTGGCCTAGCCAGTGAGGCTCCCACCAAAAAAATCTCTGAGAAACAACTTGAGGGACACCAGAGGAGGAATTTCTTGTTTCGGAAGGTTGGATTTCTCTTCGGGTCACAAATGCATGAACCTGGTCTATTTTTGAACCTCCAGTCTTAAAATGCAGGTTTAAGAAGAGAGAGAGAAAAAGAAAATAGTGTGTTTGTAGACCTCAGGCTGACCCCAAGCCAATGAAGTATTTTTTGAGGTGGAGTCACTGTGGTAATGTACAAAAATGTAGAAGCCAGATTCTGTTCACTGCAGTTTTGCAAACATTCGGTGAGGTAATGGGCCATCTGTTTTTAAACATTGGTTGAAGGATAAATATTCCCCTGGAGAACTCCCTCGCTTCGCTTCCAATATGCGTTGAATTTAGAGTCATAGAGATGTACGGCACAGAAACAGACCCTTCAGTCAAACTTGTCCATGCCCACCAGGTATCCTAAATTAATCCAGTCCCATTTGCCAGCATTTGGCCCGTATCCTTATAAACTGTTCCTATTCATATACCCATCCAGATGCCTTTTAAATGTTGTAATTGTACCAGCCTCCACCCACTTCCTCTGGTAACTCGTTCCATACACCCACCACCCTCTGCCTGAAAATATTGCCCCTTGTGTCCCTTTTAAATCTTTTCCGCTCTCATGTTAAACCTATGCCCCTCCAGTTTTGGACACCCCCTACCCAGGGGAAAAGACCTTGGCTATTCACCCTCCTCATGATTTTATAAACCTCTATAAGGTCACCCCTCAGCCTCTGGAACTCACAGCCTTCACACTCAAGAGAGTCTTAAACGGTGGCAAAGGAGTGAGCCGGAGAGAGCAGATGCTTGGCAGCAGTACAGAGACAGGAGGGAGAGAGAGTCAAACAGTGAGCCTCACACTGCAGGGTGGATGGGTTGGGCACCCACAGACACTCCCTCACAGAGTTTCCCCTTGCCCACTGTGTGCCAGCCACCCTCACTCCCTGCAGTAGCGAGAGGAAGGAATTTTTTTTTTTTTATTTTCACGTACGGTGGGGGAGCAGTGAGCATCCAAGCCATCTGGAACCCTTGCTGAGTGCCGTCACGCTTTGGAGCATCTCCAGGGTCTGGCTGGACTTCCTGTTGGAAAACAAGCTCAGCTCGCAGTCCCTCCACCATCGCACCGCAGCCCCTCCCCGCTGCCTCCACCTCTGTTTTCTCCAAATGGACTTGTAGAGGATGTCAGTGTTTGCACCATGGTGGCAGGCCATTGAACAATAGTCTCAGACTAAAGGCTCGCCAATTTATGACCGAGATGAAGAGGAATTTCCTCTCTGAGGGTTATGAATCTTTGGAACTCCTTGCCGCAGAGGGCTGTGGGGGGGGTAGATTTCTTGCGTCCATTCAAGGCTGAGGTAGATAGATTCGTGATCAGTCAGGAATCCAGGGTTTTGGGAGAAAGGGCAGGAAAGTGGATGTGATGCGTTTGGATCAGCCGTGATAGTGTTGAATGGCAAAGCAGGATTGAGAGGCCGAACGGCCTACTCTTGTTCCTATTTCCCGTGATCTTACGTGACCCTCAGCTCTCTACAAAGATTGAAGTTACACCTCACCCCTCTCCTCTGTCTCTCTCTCCGTCTCTCTCTCTCTACGTCGGTCCCCCTCCCCCATCACACGATCAACATATCAATCTGTTCGTTCCCCCTAATCCAGCTGCCCCTACAGTAGCAGATCCCCTGTTCTCGTCACCCTCTGGGCAAAGGATTTGTTTTAATTTCTGCTGTTTAATCAACTCAGCAAGAGATGCAATCCTTCACACTTGTATTCTGCTTTGAAAGAATCACTGACTAGTTTCCATAACCTTCTCCACCACACTCTCACACTGCAACGGGTGAAAGCCAAGGGACTGTGAGCAGACACAGAGAGAGCGTTTCCACAGTCCATCGCCCTCAGGCACAGGATAATGAGACAGCCCAAGAATTCAAACCTGAGAGGTCAGCAAACACATTCCTGTGTATGGGGGAAGGGAGGATGTTACTCGCGTTGGGATGACCCACCACTGCAAGGCTCTGGTTAAATGAAAGAGCAAACACCCTTCACACGGGGAATTTGTAGCAGGCAGTTGTTGGAAAAGTGCAATTTTAAATGGTTGAGCTGTGCAGAACAGAGTGGGATTAGACTGAGTGGGGAGAGAGGATAGTGGGATTAGACGGAGTGGGGAGTGAGAGAGTGGGATGAAACTGGGTGCAGAGTTAGGGAGTGGGATTAGATGAGTGGGAAGCGGGGGAGTGGGGTTAGGCTGGGTGGGGAGTGACGGTGTGGGATTAGGCTGGGTGGGGAGTGAAGGAGTGGAATTAGGCTGACTGGGGAGTGAAGGAGTAGGATTTACCTGGATGGGGAGTAAAACAGTGGGATTAGACTGAGTGGGATGTGAACGAGTAGGATTAGGCTGGGTGAGGAGTGAGTGGGATTAGACTTGATGGGGAGTTAGGGAGTGGGATGAGACTGGGTGGGGAGTTAGGGAGTGGGATTAGGTTTGGTGGGGAGCGAGGAGAATGGGATTAGGCTCGGTGGAGAGTGGGATTAAGATGGGTAGGGAATGACGGAGTGGGATTAGACTGGGTGGGGAGCGGGGGGAGTGGGGTTAGCCTGGGTGGGGAGCGAGGGGAGTGGGATTAGGCTGGGCGGGGAGCGAGGAGAGTGGGATTAGGCTGGGTGGGAAGTGCGAATTGGGGGTGATTTATTTTTACGTGTTTGGGTGTCACTGGCTAGTCTGGCATGTATTGCTCATCTGCAATTGCCCCTTGAAAAAAGGATGTGATGAGCCATTATCTTGAGCTGCTGCAATCGTGGAGTTTCTGTAAATCCACAGTGCTGTTAGGAACGACAGTTTATTTCCAAACCAGAGTGGTGAGGGGCTCAGAGGACAATTTAAGGTGTTGGTGTCCCATATATGTATTACTTTGGCCTTCTAGAAAGGCTGATGTTGCCATTACAATGATGTTGCATAATTTGGAAGGTACTGTCTAAGGAGCCTTGGTGCAGTGCATTTTATATATGTCTTTGATGTAAGAAATGAAGCTAATTCTTGTAGCCACTGTGTACATGTGCTTGTTCTGCTAGTGGGCAAAGGGTGATGGTTGGATAGTATAGTCTCTTATTGGAGATGGCCACTGGCACTTGTATGGCACAAATGTTTGCTTGCTACCATTGTTGACACAGGAAATGCGTGGCTGTGAGCCTGAGTACAACAAGATCCCAACAACGTTATAATGATCAGGTCAGCCAATTTAATGTTCTTCTTTGACACACCAAACACTGGTCAGGACACAGGATAATGGAAATCTTGCTCAAAGTATACAAGGTCAACTCGCCAGACCACAACTGGAAGACTGTGATAACAAGGTGTAAAGCTGGATGAACACAGCAGGCCAAGCAGCATCAGAGGAGCAGGAAAGCTGACATTTCAGGTCTGGACCCTTCTTCAGAAAATATTTTCATCAGCTTTGCTGCTCCTCTGATGCTGCCTGGCCTGCTGTGTTCATCCAGCTCCACACCTTGTTATCTCAGACTGCAGCAT